TGCGCGGCCCTGGCCATGGCCCCAGGCCCGGCGGTGGTACCAGATCCACCCCGGAGCATCTCCCTGGTCCTGCATCCAGAGCGGGCTGCAGGCAGGACCAGGCGGTTCTGCTGCTTGTCCCCCTGTGACTGTCTCTGCTCCCTGGGCCTGCAGAGCTGCGCGGAGCTCCGGGTGGCTGGTGGTTGCCATACTGCTTCCCTCCGAGCCACCCTTCCCTCCCGGTCAGCGCGGCTCCCTCCCGGTTCCCTCCCGGCTCCTCCCGGCCCAGCAAAGCGCGGTCTGTGGCCAGGCTGGGGAATGGCCAGGGCTCTGCCACGATTCAGTTCCTGGGAAAAGCTGCTGGGAGGGGAGTGGAGACAATGGCAAATTCCTGGAACAATGCTCGGAGCGAGCCACGCTCCCAGGCGCACCGGTGCTTGCTGTGGAGCGGAGACTCCTCTAGTGCCTGTTGTTTCCTGCTGCTTTTCCGGGAATGCTCTGGGGAGCTCCAACTCTTCTGCACCCTGTAACGTGCTCCCGGCTGCAGAGCTGTTCCCGGCATGGGGCCTGGCCAGGTTTGCTGCTTTCTGGGAGCAAGCGGCCTCCGGATCCGCAGCGCCGCGGAGGCTCCTAAGCCAATTAAAGCGGTAACAGAGCGCTGACCCTCCAGGACACGCTGCTCCCTGACTGCAGCTGAGGCTCTTCCTAATCTCGGGATTTGCGATTTGCTCGGGTGAGCAGTTAAAGGCAGTTTGCTAAACCCATTAGCGAGGCTGGAGCTGGTGCGGGAGGCCGGGGCGGTTGGCAAGGTGCGGAATTACAGCGGCACGAGGACCGCGCGCAGGGAGGCCGGGAGCTGCCCCCTCCCCGCTCCAGCTGCTCCCCGGCTCCTCCGCACCTCTGGGCCTCGGAAATCGATGGCTGCGCAGTCCAGGCCCCAGCTGCGCTGCAGCCGGCGCCGCAGGGAAGCAGGATCAGGGAATACAGCTGCCGGCCTCAGCGAGGCGGGAATGGGGGCGGTTGCAAGGAGCTGCTGAGCAGGTTGCAATTGGCGGCCGCTGCCCCCCCGGGACGGTGCCAGTGGCTTGGATGTGTCCCGGGATAATGGGCAGCCGTGAGTGAGCGCAGAGCGCGTGCGGAGCGCGCCGGAGCCAGGCGCTTCCCTGCGCCACCCTCCTCTGGCTCCTGCCCATGCGATTCTGCAGCTCAGGGACTCGCATCCCAGGGTTTCGCATCCCCTTTGCTTGCAAAAGGTCAACAGCGTTTGCGCCACGTGTGGAAATGCCAAAGGGATGGGCTGCACCGCGGGGCTGCCCGCGCTGGGGACGGGGCCTGGCACTCCCTGCCTGCGTCCGGCACTCCCTGCCGGACTGGGAATGCCGGATCCAGATGGTGCCTTTGCTTCCAGCCCTATGCCCCAGCCAAAAGCTGTGTTAGGGCCATACCGAGTGTTCCGGCTGCAGGGAATGCGGGGCCGGAGGGGCTGAGCCCCAGCCCCAGCGCCGATGCTCCCGAACTACCTGGCTTTGAGATGGATAATGGATTAAGATGGCTGCAGTGGGAAAGCAATTTCCTCCTTGTTTAAAT